CAAAATACAGGACTATGTAGCACTTTAAAGACTAACAAGATGGTTTATTAGATGATGAGCTTTCGTGGGCCAGACCCACTTCCTCAGATCAAATAGTGGAAGAAAATAGTCACAACCATATATACCAAAGGATACAATTAAAAAAAAGAACACATATCCTTTGGTATATATGGTTGTGACTATTTTCTTCCACTATTTGATCTGAGGAAGTGGGTCTGGCCCACGAAAGCTCATCATCTAATAAACCATCTTGTTAGTCTTTAAAGTGCTACATAGTCCTGTATTTTTTTTTATAAAGTACCCCTTAAAAAAAATTAGAAACACTCCCAGGACCTACAGTTTTCAGATACACAATTTTTTTTCTACCATTGCAACACATTTGTTTAAACAACTTAATCACAGCTGGGAGAGCAATTAAATTTTTGGATGTAAAAAGTACAAAAATAATAAAGCGCTGTAAAACTTAAAACAAAAATTCAGTTTTCTCCAAATTTCACTTGTGTTGACGTACTCCCCACACTTCTCCAAATACCTCTAACGGTACTCATACCATTGGTTGAGAAACACTGCACTAGAGCAACTTCCCTGCACAGATCCTTCTGGAGACCTGTGCAGTTAAATTGACAGCTTTGAATGATGCACTGAAGTGTGAGGAGGACATATTTATTTTATTTTGCTTTTGTGATCTGAGGCAATGCAGTGCTCGGGTGCCTCCATGGAACGAGTGCCAGTTCCTGATACCTGAACACCACTTCCTATAGCATCTGAGTTTTCCTGGAGGCTCTCAAATCCAAACATAAACCCAAAATAACCCCATCTTCTGATAGTCACAAACAAACTGGAACGGTCATGGAGACAAGGGGAAGGAAATAATTAGGCATTTCATCTTTTGTATGATTTGTTTCTAAACACTGTGATCAGAATGAATCCTATGCAGGTTTGAGAGGGGGTGGCTGCCCTGTACTGGCCTAACAAGAATTAAACCCACCTCTGGGAGAGGGCTGGGAGTGTGGTGCCTACAGCTGCGACATGCAGAAGACAATTAAGGCCCAGCTGTGGTAGTATAAATAGGGGCTCCTGGAGGGGAGGTAAAGGCACTCTTATTCCAGCTGTGGAGCAGGTGGGGTCTGGCTGCCAGGGAAGCTACATAAGCTTCCTGAGACAGAGTAGTGCTGGGAAGGGCAGGTAGAGCTGGGGAGTTCTGGCCTGGTAAACACCCAAGCTGAGGCCTTGCTCTCAAGGCTTGAGGGCACTAAGGCTGTGGAGAGGCAGCCAGGGTGGAAGAAGGCAACAGGTCCACACCCTTGCCAATGATTAGTAGCCATTTCAAATTGCAATGAAGCAGGGACAAGATGATGACTGGTAGTGGGGTCAGTGAGGCAGGGTGGGTTTAAGGGATTGAGGTTCTCTGGGAGGGAGGACCCCAGAGTGTGGGAGACAGATAACTAAGGGCGAACACCAGCCAGTAGAAGCCACTCCAGTGCTGAAGAGCTGATTCCCTGAGTGATCAGCAGGAGGTGCCAAGGTAGTGAGTCACGACCCCGTTACAAGGTTGAAAAGATTTAATTTTCTTAACCACAAGAAGTTTATGGTCTGAACACAGATTTATTATCTAGCCCTATATGCTGTTGCTAAAAACCAGGCTCCTACCCTGTAAAGTCAAGATCTACACTGCAAAACAAAAGCACAGTTGCCACAAGTCTCTGCTTGTTCAAGAGAAGCCTGATGATAATTGGGCATAGGAAGGACACTGTATTTATTCGTCTCTCTCCAATTATGACTTTCTGGACATGCTTAAATTACAGAGGAGAAACTAACAGATCTGTCTGTGTTATATTTGCATGGAGCATCCAGAGTAGCTAGTTTAACCCACTCTTTGGGTTTATCTGCACTACACGATGGATCGACCTCCGAGTGCTCTCCCATTGACTCTTATACTCCAGCAGGAAAGCAGCCCCTGCTGACCTTACTGTGTGGAAGACCCCACAGTAAGGTCTTCATGTAATTGAAGTTGCGTATCTCAGATCGATGTGGGGGCAGGCTAGTGTAGACTAGGCCTTTGTGTCCTCTCCATATTCTTCCATCCAATCCCTTACATCTGGAGCCTCCTTCCTGACTCAAACTGACCTCCATTTTCTCTTCCTTTAAATTCCCAATTAAGACATATTACTTCAAAAACATACAAACATACATGAGACTAATAAGACACACATCTCTTCTCCCTTGAACCATCAGTTGATTGTTACTTCTCAGATACCATCTTTGGGTTACTTTTGTTCTATTTATGCTCTAAAAATATTCCAAACTGGGATTAGCCTTCATTCTTATTTCTAGAGCTTCTGGCCCTATATAAATAGTAAGTAATAATTTAATAAATTAAATTTATTTTAAATAATAAATAGAGTGTTCCTATACAAATTGTAAATAGTAATTTAATAAACCAGTTTACATAAGAATGGCCATATTGGGTCAGACTAAAGGTCCATCTAGCCCAGAATCCTGTCTTCCAACAGTGGCCAGTGTCAGATGCCCCAGAGAGAATGAACAGAACAGGTAACCATCACGTGATCCATTCGCTGTTGCTCATTCTTAGGTACTGGCTAACAGAGGCTAATGTTGAGCTCTTGCAAGATGAATGACTTAATTCAATAACCAGAGAGAGGCTGAAAATGAATGAGTCACTGTTCTTATGAAATGAGAGCATTATTTTACTATACAATAGAAATATTTTACATATTTTATACATGGCAATATATCCCAGCAGTGAACAAAATAATCCCGTAAATGTGAAGCAATAATTTCCTTGGGCAAAAGCAAGCTAAGCTCATTTGAACTCATGAATAAACTCTCATCACTGAGGTTAAACCATAATATACAGTGGGGAATTTCTTGCTATGGTAAACCACCAGACTCTTAGATATGTGAGTAATATGTATATGTTTGCCCCTATTGGTACAGAAGTTATTCTGAATTCTTCAGAAGGGCTTCAAATGTTATGTATATAAAATGTTAAACTAATACATTTGAGACAAAACAGAATCCAATAAATGCCAACCAGACTATGGGGGAAGGAAGGGTAATAATAAAAAGTTCAGTACTCAGGTTTTTGCCTGATCATGTACCAAATATATTTCCATTCCAACTATAAAAAGCTCCTGAAAGGGAAATGTCAGTCTTGAGTTTCAAACTGCACATTTACACCTGAAGACAATGATGTACTCATTCAGTTGCATTTGAAAAAGGTTATTTTTGCTTTAACCAAAGTAACCTCACTTTATTTTGTATCATAAGGTCTTTAAAATTAAGTTATCCCGTCTTTCTAAAGGGAGTTTCCTCTTAAAGGAAAACAAAGAAAATTACATGCCTGAATCTAGTAGAACAGTTTATTGTTGTTTATGTCTACAGTGGTCCTAGAAGAAACATAAACAGCACTGTGCTTATTTTCTGAGGGGGGGGGGGACACTAACAAATAGTGTACCCATTTTGTTAATGGGTGGATTGTTTTTATTCCCCTGGAGTTCACCCAAAGGTAAATACTCTCAGAGAACCCCAATTGGAGTAAACATGCTATTTATAAAAGCTTAGATCAGGAAAAAAGAGAGAGTGTTTATATGTGCATCAGTGTTATGAAAGCAATTCCTAAAAACAGAAGTTCTTTGCAACCCTTGTCCCACCTTGAAATGATTATTAGTTTTTACTTAATGTAAATTTCAGTGGAATAATGGGAGCCTGTCCCATTAAACACATGCTTTCCTCCTGCTCAAGAGCAAACTGTCCACAGAAAAATCTGAATGGGGGTGGGGGTGGAGAGTGGTTTACAATTGCAAGTTTTATCTGGAAACTTTCCTTCCATGCACATATGTTTCTGAGATAATTTAGAGCTGTCACAAATATATTACTGGTGTCTACCAGTCTCTCTCATCAGAATCAAATAAGGTGGGTAAATAAATATTGACTTTGGAGTAAAAAGAGGAAAACCATCATACCATTCCGTAACTTAGTCTTCCCTAACCATCATCAACATTATATGTCCTTGTTGCCCTCTCCTGGTCTGAGCTGGTAATTTTCAGGTTTGAAATGTATGACTGAGGTCTCCTAAGAATGTTACTCATTTCCCTGACACTTTCTCTAGCCCAGTCAGGGGGTTGCTTGGTAAGCATATTTTTCAGGTGCTGGTCCATGCTACCTGGCAACAGCAGAATGTATGAGTAGTCTCTCATCAGAGTGCTGGAAACAGAAGCTGAGCCAGTTATGCCTGGTTTGGAGAGAAAATCACCGTCTTGTTTAGGGTTACCACCATGATGACCAGAAACTCCAGCCTATTGGTATAAAGTAGTAGGTTACATGGTGTGGGTCAGGAGCTGGGTAACAGACTCAAATCTCTTCCTGGTGAATTCCACGAAGATATTGGCTATACTAACTTTGATAGAAACTTGGACTAAATATTGAAGTTTTAAAATATCCAGGGAAGTTATTTCCATTTCTATTTTTCTACACAGATTTTATTTTTGTTTAATTAGGCTGTTTAATAAGGCATCTGATGTTTCTTCCTAGGGTTGGAGGAGGGTCCAAAAAACACTGGTTGGGTGGATATCATTGCTGTAGGCAGTCACATAACTTGCAGTGCTGCAGTAGAAACTAGAAATAGCACTGTAAAGAACCTCCGTACAGTGGAGAGTGTTTGTTGTAGTTATGGTGGTAAAACAAGATGGAATGGAGGCTCTAAAATTCAAAACTTGATATAATTTTACATCTGGGAGAGATACTTTCAGGACATGATATTTAAGATCATTGTTAGTATCTCATAAACACTTTTTAAATATGTAGTTTTGTGAGTGCAAATAATTGGCACGTTGGCTACATTTTGCTTACTAATCAGATGTAGCAACTGACATAAAGTGAACCTGCACATAACTGTGAGCATAAAGAGAAGACCTGCTTTTAAAAATCTAATCAGATGTAGCAACTGACATAAAGTGCACCTGCACATAACTGTGAGCATAAAGGGAAGACCTGCTTTTAAGAATCAGGCCTTTTTCCTTTTGGTACTGACTTCTTAGGGAATAGAGAGGATATCATCTCCTCCCACAACTGTTTGGTTGATTCAGTGTTCAGTTAGATCTGCTTCGAGCACACCACTGTCCAACCCACTGAGGTTGACAAATCTTTTATATTCCACCACTGTATACTGTTCATTCCTAAATATCAGCATCTATGGTCGTTCAATTATTGTCTGCTCCTCTCCCCATTATCTGATACACACTAATTTCCTGCAACTAGGTGAACAAAGAGGACTTAAGGAATTATAGGCCAGTCAGCCTAGCTTCAATATTTGGAAAGATAATTGGAATCAAATGATTTAAAATTTAATTTATAGGCATCTAGAAGATAACAGATTAAGAAATAATAGCCAACATAGATTTGTCAAGAACAAAATCATGTCAAATCAACCTAATTTCCTTTTTGACAGGATTATTGGCCTGGTAGATGACGAGGGAAGCAGTAGACAGGACACAGTCTCTGGAGCAAACTAGGGAAATGTTTTTCAAATGAAATTACTATAAGAAGGATGCACAAATGGCTGCTGGGGGGAATGTGGAGCCACCAGTAGGGAGTAGGGGGAGCATAACTCCCTGTCATGGTGGCGGGCATGAGCATGGCTCGGCCATATTGGCATGCTGGGGTGGAGGAGAGGGGAGACGAAATGCTAAAAGGAGCACAGAGCCCCTCAAGTGGCAGCAGAACTGCGTGGTGGAGTGCAGAACTGCTAAGTGGCAGCAGGGCTGCTGGTGGGAGTGTGGTGCCGGTGGGCAGTAGCGGAGTCCCCAGTGACAGAGCTGCTGTTGACAAAGAGGAGCCCCTGGCCACCAGCGGGAGCACAGAGCTCCGGGTGGCAGCAAAGCCACCAGAGAGTGGAGTACAAGATGACAGTGGAGTCCCAGCCACTGTGGGTAAAGCGGCGTCCTGGCAGGGGGGCAGCAAAGCCACCAGAGAGTGGAGTACAACATGACAGTGGAGTCCTCTTGGCTGCAAAATGCAAAATGGAGCCAATAGGAGCCGCGAGGCTCCGTGGCCACGGGGCAGAGTTCTCTTCACCCGGCACTGTGGGGAAAGCAGAGTCCTGGGTGGCAGTGGAGCTGCCTGGTGAGAAACAGAACCCCTGTGGGGCCAGGGGAAAGTGGAACTTCCCCCACCACTGCACTGATCTCCTCTGGTCCAGCAAATTCCCTGGTTCAGGCCCAATCAGGTCCTAAGGATGCCAGACCTAAGGATGCCAGTACAACCTGTACTATTCAGCGATTTAATTAATGAACAATGGAGTAGAGAGTTTGTAGACAATAACAAATTGGGAGGGGTTGCAAGCACTTCAGAGGATAGAAGTGAAAATCAGAATTACCCTGACAAATTGGAGAATTGGTCTGAAATCAACAACATTAAATTCAGTAAAGATAAGTGCTTGTAAACACGCCTTGCTTATCTGTTGATGACAAAGAAATCCTGGAAACCAACACATACTTAATTAGATTAAAAAACATTATTGAGGCTTTGAAATGGGCAAAAATTTTATTTCTTAAAAAAATAAGTTGAGCTAAATAGGACGTTGTAGAGCCCTGTTTCTGAAAGTGTTCCGCGGAATCACTTTGACAAACACATTAACTGGCTGCCCCGGTTTGTTTATTTACCAGTACCAGGGCCACGGAGCCTCACAGCTCCCACTGGCTCCATAGGTGTAGGCCGGGCCACTGCTTCCTGATGCTCCTCTTGGCTGCAAAATGCAAAATGGAGCCAATAGGAGCCGCGAGGCTCCGTGGCCACGGCACCGGTAAATAAACAAACTGGGGTAGCCAGTTAACGAGTTTCTGAAAGTGATTCCGCAGGACACTTTCAGAAACACTGTACAGCATGATGTGTAAAGCTGTTGAGATTGTTTTGGTAATTATCCAAAGTAATTTGGTTGTAGGATAACTGGAAAACAGATAGTCCACATGCATTTATGTCATACTTAATCAGTTTTCTGGGATTTGTTGAGAACATAACAGTGACATGAAAATCAATAGCTGTAGAATACCAAGATTAAAAATAATCTACAATGTTCCACACCCAAAAATTAATTGGTAAGATTTAAAAAATGGAATAAGAAGCAAAATCAAGTGTGCTCTGTAGAAAACAGGTTTGGGAGTACAGTAATGCTTCTTTGTACTGTGATATTGTTGGTGCTCACAAGTTAGGGTTGGCTTCGGCCTCACTGGTTTATGATTGATGGGGGATCTGAAAGTGAATCTTCCTGTAAAATGCTGTAGTGGGTGGTATTAGTGATTCTATTTGATGTTGCGCTTTACTTTGAGTACCCCCTATTGTCCTGCCCAGCTTATACCTTACAGCTCCTCCCAGAACCATTATCAGAAATACAAAAATTGGGAGGGAAACCCTCCATCCAGCTGCCTTTAAAGATGGAAATGCCAAAGCAGACAGCAAACAACCTCCAGCCAATCAGGATACAGCCTTATTCTCTGGTCCGACAGAACATGGCCTTCTTGAACAACCACGGTATGTCTATCTCCTTGCAAATTAGGATTACAAGCTTGAAGAAAGAGAAACAGGAGGTGTGGGGGGGGGGGGGGAGGGAGAGAATGGGAAGTATCAGAGCCTGGAGAAGATGACATGCCCTATCTCTCAAAGAGAAACCAATGTTCTGAAAGTAATATTTCATAATTCATGATTTTTAACTAATTAGGCAGCAATACTGTGTAATTTAGTTAATATCTAGCCATTAGTATGAATTTCTAAATATTTCTAAAATTACTTATTTTAAGAAATGTAAGTTAATTTTTAAGCAGATATAAGTAACATTTCTTTCAGTCTAAAGATTCTTTCGGAGAGGGGAAGTACAGGTTGGACCTCCTTGGTCTGGCACCATTGGGACGTGACTGGTCCTCTCCTGAAAGAGAATTCGCAAGACCAGGGGAGGTCTCATGCCACCAGTTCCCAAGCCCATCACCTGCTGCTAGCAGGCTGTCCCAGCAGGCACTCTGCCTCACCCTTACCCCACTCTCAACTTGGCTGGGCTACTTGCCCAGCTGCTGCCAGCTTCCTGGGCAGCAGAGGCTCCGACTCCTGCTACTGCGCTCTAGTCCTGTGTATCCGGGGGCAGCCATGGGGCCCTGTCCCTGCACTCCAGAGGGCTGCTGCAGGGGTTCAGCCCCAGCCCCATGCTGCTACAGTGATCCACTCCAGCCCAACAGTCCCAGAGGCTGCTGCAGTGCTCTGGCCTTGTGCTCCAGGGGACTACTGGGCTCCCGCCCCAGCCCCATGCTCCAAAATGTGGCTGGAGGACTCTGGCCTCAGCCTAGAACTCCCGAGCGCTGGCACAGGCTCCAGAGCTGCTACAGGGCTCCAGCCCAATGCCAACCTGTGCTGCTGAAAGACTCCAGCATGGCCCCGCACTGCCACAGGCTGCTGGAGGTTTCCTCCGGGCTCTGGCTCCGGTCTCAAATTGCTCCCAGTCGGGTTGCCAGTCCTGTTGCCCCAGCCAAGCTGGCCCTCCTGCCCTTAGGCTCCTGGGATCTCTAGTCCAGGAACAGCCATGGTCCTGCCAGATGACAGGTGTTGCCAGATCAGAGAGTGCCGGGTTTTAGAGGTACAACCTAAACAGATAGCACCGTAAAAAACTGAGAGAGAGCCCTGAAATTGAGGTTCTGTCTTCATCCACATAATGGATCCACCACATACCAAGGCAGGTTTCCCTTCACTACCGAGCCAGTTTGCCTCAGCTCTGACCTTTAGGGACCATCTCTAGAGGTGAATGAATACTTCCTTCATAGTGAACTCACTTGAGACTTTCTGTGACTCCCTATGTGCATGTCAGTTAGTGCCACAGGGGAGACTAGTTTTATGTTATGCGCATACTCATTGTGGCATTGCACAGTTCACACAGACCAGCAAGATACTGTGAGAGAGCAACCAATTTTGAGTGGCCCCAGCTTGCACTAGATTTGAACTTGTAGCCTGTAGATTTAAATAATCCATATGCCATTACCAGTCCTCCTTATCTAAGCATAGGAGAACTGAGTATGGAAAACAGCAAGAAAAACTGGTATTATGAAATAAATCTGCTGATTGGAAGATATCTTATGTAACCAAGGGGCCTTGGATAAGGGAGGATGTGGTTCTGTGCTCCCAGATGGGGAAGGGCTTTGGGTGGAAGGGATGGATTTAGACACAGCCAGCCCTCAGCGTCGTTCAGAGTGGGTCGTACCTCCCCCCCTTCCCATCCCCAGTCAGACCGTGTCATGAGCGTGTCATGCAGGGTTTTGGCAGTGATTTAAAGAGCTCAGCTGCCTGGAGCCTCGGACCCTTTTGAATTGCCAGGCCCCAGGGAGTTGTCCCCTTCCCTCCCCCCTTCACTGGGCCTGGATGTAACCAAACAGTTTGAGACTGATAACATATTTTATAAAAACAACAATATACTTCAAAAAGTGAAATGAAATGTGATATCCTTATTTCTGAATTCATTGCACCATATGAAGGTTGGTATTCATATAACCGCATAATGTCTGTATGTTAAATATATAAGTTTTAGCTTTCATCAGCTTCCCAACAGCAGAATCTGATGCTTCCTTACCATCATGATACCGTGCGTTTTGTTACTTGCACTTTCTGTAAAGACCAAGCCAGTAAGCATTAGGGGGCTATTACTGGAAGGATTACTAGTCCCAAGAGCTCAAAAATTTGCTTTAAAGTATGTATTTGCCTTCAATATTCCTTTCCTTAGAATGTTTATTATAGATTTAATGTTAAACAGATGGTGATTTCTCCATGATGTACTGCATTATATTCAATAAGATATTCTTTAAACACCACCATCCACAGCAGATTGCTTGTTTTCAGTCCAAGAACTGACACCATACACTGCAATCCCCAGCTGAATAGAGTACAACTCTTAAAGGTAAAAGAAAGGGATAATTTAAGTTCCTGCCAGGTTTGGCACGTAAACAGAGCAATGGATGGATGCTTTAAATATAATTTGAAAGAATGAGTAACAGACAGGTACCTACTGTGCAAACTTAGCTTCTGTACTTCTAAAAGCCTCCCTTTGCCATAGATAAGAGTTGTACACTTTGAATGTCTGCAGTGCTCTGTAATCTCAGGAATGCAAAAGTCCTCATGTTATCCCCCTTCCCTGCACACAAACACTGACATCTGGCTGTGGTTTCCTCTGTTTAGACCACAAGATTGCAGTAAATGAGACATTTATTTTCGTCTCTATGAATTTCCCTTCTGCTCAGTCTTCACACCATTCCAGACCAATGGGTTCACATAATGCTCTTCTGGAAGAAGAGGGATAGAGAAAAAAGTTGAAAGAGCATTTTTCAAAAGACTGAGCCTTAAATATCTTCATATTTCAAAAAGGGGAGCTACACAAAAATGAGGAAGCTAGTTAAATGGAAATTAAAAGGAACAGTTACAAACTGCATAGACTCTGTTTAAACACCATACCCCAAATTAAAAAAAGTAAGAGCAAAAAATGCTACCATGGTCAAACAGAGTAAAAGAGACTGTTGGAGGCAAAAGGCATCCTTTAAAAACTCTGGTAGATCATGTGTAAAAGTATAGTAAGGCAGACCAAGAAAGAATATGAAGAGTAATGACTGAAAGACCAAAATCTAACAGCACATATTATTTTGAGTAGTACCTCAGAAGCAGGAAGCCTGCCAAACAGTAAGGGGGCCACGGCATGATGGAGGTGCTAAAGGGGCATTCAAAGGAGACAAGATCATCTGAAAAGCTAAATGATTTCTTTGTATTCCTCTTCACCGCAAAGAATGTGGGGGTGAGCCCCATATCTGAGATGTTCTTTTTAGGTAACAACTATGAGGAACTGTCACAGACTGAGGTGGCTCTAGAGGAGGTTCTGGAACAAACTGATAAATTAAACAATAGTAAGTCAATAGGACCAACTGGTGCTCAAAGAGTTCAGAAGAAACTCAACATGAAATTGCAGAACTACTAACTTTAGTATGTAACTTGCCATTCAAATCAGCCTCTGTAAAAGTTGGCTAAGGTGGAGGGTTAATTAAAGTAATGCTGATTTTTAAAAAAGGCGTCAGAGGCAGTCCTGGCAATTACAGGTCACTAAGCCTAACTTCAGTATCAGGTAACTTGGTCGAAATTAGTAAAGAACAAAATTATCAGACACATAGATGAACGTGGTATGTTGGATAAGAGACAATATGGCTTTATAAAGGGATATCGTTCCTCACCAATCTACTAGAATCTTTAAAAGTGTCTACAAACATGGATATGGGAGATCAGTTGATTTGGTGTACTCTTCTTTTCAGCAGTAGGTATGAGCTAAGTGGGCAGGGCCTTTTGTTGATCAGAAACTAGTTAAAAGGAAACAAAGGCTAGGAGTAAGTGATCAGTTTTCACAGTGGAGAAGAAAATAGTGGGCTCCTCCCAAAGATTTGAACTGGCATCCATGCTGTTGACATATTCATAAATGATCAGAACAACGGATAAAGTGGCAACATTTGCAGACAATATAAAATTACTCAATATAATTAAGTCCAAAGCTGACTGAAGAGTTAAAAAGGGCTCTCACTAAAATGGCTAATTAAATTCAACTTTGATAAGTGCGAAGTAATACACAATGAAAAAATAAATCCCACTTAAACGTACAAAATGATGGTGTCTAAATTAGCTGTTACAACTCTAGAGATTTTGCAGTTATTGTTGTTTCAGTGTGTTCTCTACAAACAGACTCTGTGCAGGGACAGTAAAAAAAAATGAGAGAATGTTAGGAACCATTAGGAAAGGAACTATTCGATAATAAGAAAAAACAGCCTAATGCCATTATATGAATGTTCAGTTTGCCCACACCCTGAATACTGTGTGTAGTTCCTCTTGCCCCATTAAAATATATAGGAATGAAATGGAAAAGGCACAGAGAATGACAACAAAATGTATAGTGGTATAGAATAGCTTGCTTATGAGGAGAGATTAAAAAGACTGCAACTGTTCATTTAAAAAAGAGATAACTATGGGGCATCCAATAGCAGTGTATACGCTCCTTATTGGTATGGAGAAAGTGATTAGAAAAGTGATGTCTGCCCTTTCACATAACACAAAGAATCAGAAGTCACTCGATGAAATTTAGGGCAGGAGGTTAAAAACAAGCAGACGGAAGTATTTCAAACAATGCACCATCAACTTAGGGTACGTCTAGACTACATGCCTCTGTCGCCAGAGGCATGTCGATTAGGCTACCCGACATAGTAAAATGAAGCGGCGATTTAAATAATCGCCGCTTCATTTAAATTTACATGGCTGCCGCGCTGAGCCGACAAACAGCTGATCAGACGTATCCTAAGTCTTCTCTGGCAGTGGTCACTCCAGAAGTTGAGCTCAGATTTCAGCCTTCAAGAGCCCATC